TGTTATCAAACAAGAAAATACTTTTAGCAAAACAAGCATACAAAAGCTCAATCATGAAGGCTGTTAATAAAAAACCAGCTCACATGAGAGCCATGACCACAAGGTTTATGGAAGAAACATTTTCTTAACCAAAAAAGTGATATCTGAGAGGTGTAAATCAAATTCTGGAAGGGTTTTAAATTGCAATGGGAAGTCAACCAGTGCCTGTGCAATAAAATTCCTTTTGTAACAATGTGGAAGTCAAAGCACAGTTTAAATTGGATTATCTCACATGTCAGCTGCAAGTGGCTTTTCAGGGTTTTCTTGTGGTGTCCCATTGGATTGATAATTACAATGGGTTTCATGATTGGCAGTCCGCATAGAACTGTTCATCCCAAACCAGCAGCTGCATGGCCTACTCCAAAGCTTAAAAAAAGTTAAAAACACACTCCCTGTAAGCAAAATTCAACATTCAAGCTGTAATTTACTGAAATGAGCATCCAAAAGCTCAATCATGAACCCTTCTAATATCTGTTTCACACTCAAACTACATAAGAGAGACTGAAGTGTGAAATCATAAAAAACTAGTTCAATAGTATTTTTTGGCTTGTTTGGAGTCTGGAAGAGTGTCACTGGCAGAAAATTCTTTTTAAAATTGCAAATAAAGAATTGGTATTGCTGCACTATTTTTCACTTGAATTTCATTGATAATTGAATCCTAGCATCTTAGATGAATCACTTTCTAGCCTCATTCAGAAGTTGAATGCAAAGATACCATTAGTTTATCAATGATGGAATTTAACAATGTGCCCACAATCAATTCTTATATTTGAGTATAACACTGGAGATTTAGAAAGAGTACTTTCAGTTAGTATTGATTGAGTTTAGCTGAGATGCCACAGGAATGGTCAAATGGGTAGCTTACCTTAATAAAACTGAAGTCAGAAAGTAACCAGTCACACCACCACCTAATCCGGCTAAAAGAAAAAAAAGTATCCTGCATAATCCCTGCATTTCAATGTCCGGTATAAAGTGCTCCTGGATTTGAAATCGGGCTCTTTCTGTCAACTCTTGAACAAGACCTGGAGTGTTCCTTTCTGGTACCCCTGAGACGAGAGTGTGTGGGGCAGGTTGTTCATCAGGACATGGCACTCTACAATATGGGCAGGTAAGGGATGTTGCCACCCATTTTTCAAGACATGGGGTGTGAATCAAGTGCTTGCAAGGCAGCATTTTATATGGACCTGTGCACTCTTCCAGGCAGAGTGGACACTCTTCAATTTGACTGCTTTCTTGAATAGGTCCATCAGTGTTATTCAGATCAATAGGATCTATTTTTTTGAGGGGATCATTAGTGATTGCAATATTTTTGGTTGTCTGCACTATAGCTTCTGGGACTGTCTTACATTCCAATGCCTCAATTTTAACATTGAATTCCGACTGATCACATTCCCAGATAACAAAAACAAGTCAGAATTCCAGCCCACACAATCCTTTGAATTTTGAGCTCAATGTTGTAAAAAAAGTGTACACACATCAGAAGGTCTTGGGTTTGGGAGATTTGCCTTCAATTGACTTGAGTGGTGTTGACCTAGGCTGGATTGACCCACTTCATCTTCAGCTTGTGTTACTTCTTGGATCTGACTCAGTTCTATTGAGTGTTCAGCTTGTAAGCTAATTCCAACAAGCTAAATATTGAATAATTAGTTGTAAGCTTTGCAGATTAAATTAGGGTACCACAAATTAAAATTAGTAAACATTGCTTAACTGCAAGTAATAAAAACCAGGCAACCATTCTAAGAAATGTGAAAAATTACCCCTGAGAAATGAGTCCAAGGAGTGAATTGGATGGTATGGGGAAGGATTGGCTGCAGTTCCCCCTGCAAGATGTTAGTAAAACTTTGGACAAACTGAAAGCGGAGATGGCTGTCCTGCTTATCCAGTAGTCTCAGCAAGGGACTTTGGTGGAGAGCTGCCAAAAGTTCAAAACCTTTCTTCATGTCTATATCTATTCATTTGGAGTCTGGTCAGAGGCAAATCTTGTGGGAATATACACCAGTGACAATTTTGATTTCCTACGCAGCCCTCAACTCTATCTGAAGATTCACAGCAGCAGCTGAATAAACTTAATACAGTTATAACCACTGATTGGCCCAAAAAATACTTACAATACATTCACTAGGCCTCTTTTTTTTCTTCACTCCAGTTTCCAAAAGGTTATTACTCAAGGAGGGGAACTGTCAGCCTTAGAGCCAGCCAAGCTGGCCAAAAGACTGCTTGGGTCCTCCTTGTCTGCTATGTTCCTACTGTAACTTTTCTATCTCAAGATTGTATTAAATTCTGACTTCTGAAATGAATTCCTCATATGATTTCAACCTTAGTCACCACTACACACTCTTACACTACTCTTCTCCTTCATAGACTTTGTAATATTTCACTGTACCTTGTGAAATACCAACCAAGTTGGAATTCCAACTCTCTACCACATGTACATGTTGTGATTATGTAATCCAAATCTGAAAATTCTCTCAGTGGATACTGAGTGTGCGTTTTGCGGATCCTCAGACTCCAGACACACCCAGAACCACAACAACCAGATCCAGATCAAGCACACACTTATCAACCAGAAGAACCTTACTTTTCCTGCCTTTCCCACTACTCAGTGTCATTGGTGTCATCAGTAAGTTACTTCTTTTGAGTCTAGCTAGCATCTTTCTGCTTGTTTCTTTCTCAGTCACACTCAACCTTTTCCTCTTTCATCTCTAAAACAAAGCCCTGATCAACCAAAGCAAGCCTTAGCTTCAAAGATTCTTTTTATTCTTTTTTGGTAGTATAACTGAAGACTACATAGGTTCCCCTTTAAAGAAACTTGATCATCTCTGATCTAAAAAATTGTGGTTGACCTAATTCATCAGTGTCAATAAACCATTTCAGTTTCTGTTGATTTGGAGGTGTAGAGTTAGCTCCGCTTATAACAGCCATCCTCAAAGGAAAGTAAGACTGTCAGAATTTTAATCTCATCATAAAACAAATAAATAACAAGAATATTATTTATTTATTTCCTTCTTCTTCTTCCTTTCCTCTACTTTTAGTTGTATCTCTTTCCTCCCAAGAAATACATCTAAACGTGCCCCCCCCAAAACCTTTTGTCCTGCAGTCACTATTGAGAAAGGATGTAGTTTTCAATGCCCAATGTGATGAAAAATGATACTGAGTCCAATTAAAAGGACAGGTAATGGGCAGAAGCACAAAGACTTGAGGAAAACTTTAGAGATGGAAAAAACGTTGCAAGTTCATTGGTGACTCAAAGAGGCAGTTAAATCATTAATATAAAGTAGATGGTTTCTTACAGAAGCCTTTATCATAAAATGAAAAAGCAAATATCTGTATGGTATACAAGTGAAGCAGGTGATGAATCTCCCAACACACTAAGGTTCCAATCTGGTACCTTTCAATTGGGTCATGGATGCATCCTGGAGATACCTGGTGTCTAGCTGGATATTATGATACATCAAAACCTGCCCTCTATGTCAGAAACCTATTTTTTTTTTGGGGGGGGCATTTCTTTTGGCACATTTTCTTTACCAAAATCAACAAAACTGTTTTGGCTTTACCCAGGCCATTTTAGACTCACAGATCTGTTGGGTAAGGCGGATATTTCGGGTTCGGATGTCGGGAGGAGGCCCGGATCGAAACCTTATGTCACACTCTTGAGCCCGGATCGGAACCTTACGACAACCGAATATCGCAAATCTAGCGAGGGGTTTGCGAGGAAGAAGATACGCCGAAGTTCGCCGATCACTTAGCCTAGGATGTATTGGGGTGCAGGGATGCTGAAGTTCACCATTTCGGTGCCACAAATACAAGCGTAGAGGTTTGATTGTCCGGTCTTCCACTATCCGTCTGAACAAGGGGTCCAAAGCCAGGCGGGACGAAACCAACGGTTTCGCACTGGCCGTGCAGTTTCGGGTGAACTTGATTCGAAATTAATTGAAAAGAGGGTTAACCAACTAATCAACCGGGAAAGTACCGAAAAGGAAAATAAATGTAAATGTTATACAATTACGCCATGCATCTTGATTAGACTTTACTCCAGAGCACTTCGTGAACACCAGCAGTTCGAAGATCAGGAAGCCGGTGCGTACTTACCTGTTTTGGATATTTATCAAGCTGAGCATAACAGAAGATCGAAGAAAACAACGCGCTCAATTTATTCAACTCCAGAAGGTGGAAATGTTGTATGGAACTTGGAAGTACATGAAAAAGTGTCCACACCAACATGAAATGACCTCATGCAGGCGGCAAGGGCGGGTTAGCTGTGCCAGTACATTGGTCCCTCTTACGGAAGCTCTTCGTACTTGCAACGGCATGCCGCCTCCGAATTGAGAGGGATCCGATTGAGGGCCTCGGGGGTCTTAGGTAAACGACACTGGATAGGTTTCTACGGGGTATCGGTCAAAACATTCTGAGAGGCGATCACCAAAAATTGCTGACGTGCAAAGGACCAACTTCGGAAGCGGGACGCTCTCAGCTGGTCGTCGGACCAAACACGCGACCTAGAGGTGTCGCTCCTTCACTCTGAGAGGTGAGGATGGGACCTTTCACCCTGGCCTTGCCGGCTGGTGCATACAGCTTGTACCGGATCGGCAAGGATAATTTGTGCAGGCCGAACAGGTATGAGCTATACCACCTTGGCCAGGATGATGCCTCATTGCTGAGTTGCCACAATCGATTTCGACTTACGAGCTGCCGCAAACTGCACCGGATCGACAAGGAGGTATCCTCCTGGCCAAGCCGGTACAGCTTCTACCGGTTGGCCGCAGAGGGATCCTCCTGAGCCGGTAAAGCTTGTACCGATTGGTCGCAGAGGGATCCTCCTGGCCCAACTAATACAGCTTGTACCGGTTCGACGAGGAGGCCATCCTAACCGAGCTAGTACCCGGCTCAGTCAGGAGGATGCCGCCTTAGCAAGCTGGTACGAAGTACACCAGCTCGACGAGGATGATGCCTCCTCGCCGAGCCTGCAATAGCTGTACCAGCCGGCTAGGTAATGGATCAACGTCCCGGCCTGTGCAGTGGAAACGCGCATCGTTATGGGCCACGCGACCTGAAACTTGGTCAGCTGACGAGTAAGAACATTCGGAATTGGCTCTTCGCACGTCAAAAAAGCTTGGGAGTCATGCCTTCTATTCTTGGGGGTCGAAACTCTTCTGCACTAATGCGCGCAGCGTCTCTCATGAGAGGCGCGATCAAACAGGATCAAACGGGCCCTGATATGTATGCTCGGGTGAAAAAAAGTGCAAATTGATTTGACCGTCGGGACTCCAATTCTCACCACCAGAATCATGCATCTGGGCATCTGGCCCTGCAGTCCCGGTCGACTTACAGTTGCGGATGGCAAAAACCGACCATGCCCCGCCCGCAAAATCGAAAATTGATACGCGGGGTCTATGCCCGGGGGGGCATGTACCCCAATACTTATTTTTATTACAATTTTGAACTCCTACAGATCTGTAGAGTTCAAAATTGTAACCGCTAAGCTTTTACTGCAGCGGTTCTTTTTTTTTAATTGTGTGACATACATGTATCCGGACATGCATACCAAAAGCCATACTTAAACCCATAAATATGGGTTTAAGTTAGGCTTATTCATGGCTCATACCCCTTCAAGCACCTGTAGCATCAACTTGGAGTGTTTATTCAATACCAGGATCAAACGGGCCCTGATATGTATGCTCGGGTGAAAAAAAGTGCAAATTGATTTGACCGTCGGGACTCCAATTCTCACCACCAGAATCATGCATCTGGGCATCTGGCCCTGCAGTCTCGGTCGACATAATAGGTAGAATTGTTGGTTCCACCTTCAATTCCTGCCTCCCCTTGCTTGCCCCTTGCTAGCCCATATCCTACATAATTCAAGGCCAGCAAGGGCTTACAGTTACACCAGAGCTATGAAGGAATGATACGACAAGTGGATGGGATAGACGAGGGATGTAGATGATGTCGATAATTTCCCCCTTTTGGTGCAATATGTAGAGAGAGTGAGGAATGAGCGAGTTCCGGTTTAAATAGCATGTTGGCAGCATCAGATTGCGCTTTCCTAACCAGATAGGCACAATGGCTACGATGATGATTCCCTCACGCAAACGACTCATTTACTTGACAGTTATCTTGTTGGGAATATTACCTCTTACCCTTATCCAATCACACCCATACGACTCCGCATTCTCTGATTACAACATAAATGTCAACTCGAGTGCTGGAAATAATGTCTTAGATTATTACTCTGACTGGCCTGAAAAAACGCAAAATGGAAGTCGATACACCCCCAGTCCAGTTAACTGGAGAGAGCTACCAATCTATACAGTGATTCTTGATAGGTGAGCTTCCTTTTGCATTCAGATGGCGATCGTCATTTGGCTGACTGGATCCGAGTTTTACCCGAAAGGTTCATGGATGGCAACCCATCAAACAACGACTTCTACAAGAGCCGTTCTGAATGGGACTTCCTATCTAATCGTGAGCTTCAACTTATTTACCTTCAATTCGGAGTTGTTTAAGTGTAATAAGCACAAATTGTTAATGTAAATTTATCTTCCCGCTATGGCTTTAACATCAAAGAATTGAGGCATGGTGGTGACATAGAAGGATTCGCTCAAGACAGAGTGCTGGACTACATATAGTGAGTAGGTTTTATTTACTGGGCTCCAGCCTTGTTCCGCTGATAATGTTCTTTCTATCGTAGTGGGATGGGTTATCGAACAATATATATCGCAGGTACGCCCTGGTTGAACATGCCATGGCAGTCTGATGGATATTCCGCTCTGGATTTCACCCTATTGGACCCCCATTTTGGCACGTTATCTGAATGGCGGACGGCAATAGATAAGATCCATTCGAAAGGCATGTAAGCAAAAAAAAAATCCTTCCGATGAAGTCCCGCAAATAGCCAGCGACTGAAAGTGCCCTTCTACTTTGATTAGGTATGTCATGCTAGATACGACGACCACTACTTTGTCCGATTTCCTAGAGTTCAAAGGAAATTCTGGGAAAGCTGCGCCGTTCAATCTACATGGCTATGAGGTTGAATACAAAACAACCGCTCAGAAGCCGTGGAATATCAAACAATATGCCGAATTCCAGTTCACCAATACCCGAGATCAGAGCTGTCGACTGCCCAAGTTTTACAATCCGAACGGCAGTGAAGTCCTTCCTCCTACGGACTGGGATGGATGTTATGCCGGGGATTTCGACCAATTTGGGGATTCTTCTCCGGCAGGAAAAGCACCTGCCTGGCAGGATCAACTTACCAAGTATTCCGGAGTGCAAGATCGCTTGCGCGAATGGGATAGCGGTGTAGCCACCAAGTTAGAAAAGCTCGCGTGTATGACTGTCAAAGCTTTAGATATGGACGCGCTTCGTGTGGATAAAGCCACGCAACAGTCGCTTGAATTCATGGGAAAGTGGGGCGGAAGTTTGAGGACTTGCGCAAAGGACTTGGGCAAAACCAACTTTTTTATCACTGGTGAAATGTTCGTATCGGTATAGGCCGTAGTAGAAACGAAATCACGGATTGAAATTTGTAATTTTCTGATGGTCCAACGCTTGTTTTTTTCTCCCTCTCCTCAGCTCGGACGGCAACACTTTCGGATCGCTCTACATCGGTCGTGGCCGTCAACCATCTCATTATGCAAATCTGGAATTTGATACAGCCGCCCTCGTTAACCCAAACCAAACAGAAAATTTCATGCGTCCTGCCGGTGAAAACGCGTTGGATTCTGCTGCTTTTCATTACTCAATCTATAGATCACTTACCCGGTTTCTGGGTATGGATGGTGAACTTGATTCCCCATTTGATATACCGGTGAATTGGGCTGAAGCATGGAGACAATTATTCGTGACCAGTAAGTGACTCATAGGCAGTCCCCAGGCGCCATCTTTTTCCGATATATTGACAAGAGTTTTACTTCGCCTTTGTTTCAGATGATTTCCTCAACCAGGAAACCCAGCTGGTTGATCCCCGACACCTTTACGGCACGACAAATCAAGATAACTTTAGATGGGCCTCATTGATCAATGGAACGGAAAGGTTTCTCTTGGGCCAATTAGTGACAAACCTGATTATGCCGGGCATTCCTTTCGCCTTTTACGGCGAGGAACAAGACATGCATATCTTTGATTCCCAAGGTATGAATACGCTCCTCATGGTTTCTTTTTACCTCTTTATACTGACAAGTTGTAAATGTCATTCTGTATTCCAGCAAATGACTACCTCTACGGGCGGCAACCGATGTCTTCGAGCAGGGCTTGGCAAGTCCATGGATGCTACAAGCTCGGATCCAAAAAATACCCGACCATGCCTCTTGGCAAGGCGCTGAATGGGTGCAAAGATGATTGGAACAGCTTGGACCATTACGATCCAACCTCAGGCACTCGGAACGCGCTAGCACATTTCGCATATCTCCGCTCACAATATTCTTCTCTCCAAGATGGATTTAACTTAACCCAGCTCGGAAATTGGACAACCTTTGGAGAGCTTCCGGCGTCTAGCCACACGCCCACGGAGTGGGGTTTGTGGAGCGTAAGCCGAAGCGCGTTGAAATCCCAGAAACTTTCAGGCCCTAATCCGGACCTGCCAGTCTGGATATTATACAGCAATGTTAATCAGACAACGACATTTTCCAATGATTGTTCATCTAGACTGGCAATTGTGTCGCCATACCCTGCGCCATCAACCGTTCGGAACCTGTTCTACCCCTATGAAACTTATGATCTTGACCCTTCGTCGACTTCTTCGACTGGGGATGATGCACCTTCCTTTCTCGGGTGCCTCAAATCTATTACTATGGATCCATTTAGTTTTAAAGTATTGGTGCCTACGCCAAACTGGATCAACCCTCAGCCTCGCTTGGTTGGTTTCACCCCAGGCCATGATGCTAGAATCATATCACAGCCAGATAATGATAACGAAACGATTCCGATCAGCTTTTTATTCTCTGACGAGCTACTTTGCGAAGGGGTTTCTACCTCCCTCTCTTTAAATTACACGATTGACCCAAAATCAAAAGCCTCGCCTCGGATCGACTTGGAGCATGCCAATTGCTCAAAAATCGATTCCAAACCGAACTCCAGTCAATCTGCCCTCCCTGCTGTATGGCAATGGTCATCCAGTATCGTCGGCGCACCTGATGGAGTTTATGAGCTGATCCTGAATAATGCAACTGGACAGAATGGAATCCACACCAACAGCATAGATCACCTAATTTTCCGGAAAGGACGAAAACAAAATCCAATCACCTTTTCTGACGTGTGGTACTCCGAAAGTCTTCTGGAGAATAGAGATGGGAAATATACACTTCGCTCTGACGCGGCAGGCGCGGACCTCATGCGATATTCCATTGACTTTGGAAACACTTACTCCAATTGGACGCAATACTCGAGTGATTTAATCCTTCCGGATAACGCGTTTAGTATTTCTAAATTTTGGGAGGGCGACCACGTTCGAGTTCAATATTGGTCACGTCTTGCTGGCTCCGCGGCTCCAACAATCGATGCCGATATCAATTTTGACGGTGGATATCAACGCAGATTTCCTCAGTTGATCCTCAGAGGGTCATTTAACAAGTGGTCAGTTTGATTTAACTGGTCTCTTGGCTTGAAAAATTCCTCACGCTCATCATTTCTCTGACACAGGGGCTACGATGAGGGTATCCCTGGACTGTTCTCTCCTCGCAACGAAAATATGACAATTGATGTTAGTCTGATTCGACAGTTTGAGGAGTTTTCCCTAGGGCTACTAATAACCTCAACGCCACTTTATTTGCCTACGCCCCCAGGTCATTACCAGCTGGCCTCATGAGTTTCAACTTGCGGTCTTTGAAGCGCGGGACAAGGTATTCTATGGAGATGTGGATAATGACGGCGTGTTGGATCTTCTCCCACCAAATTCACAAGCTCGAAACTTTTTATCTTTACCCCCTCCTTCCGAACCCTTCTTGGGCTGGAGGATCATGATCAATCCAAAGGATTTAACTTGGGGAGCACAGCCAGTCGGTCACCAAAAAATAGTCATCATGCTTCTCATTCTGTTACTTTTAATTCCCCCAACTACGGCCCTTTTGGCGTGCTGGTTATACCAAAAAATCTTTTACAAAGTCAAACACAATCAAGTGAGTTCTTATTTTCGATAATGATCCTCATATGATAATTTTGACAAGGATTTGCCCCCTTTTTCAGTATGGGTTTCAAACAGCCAGACAGAATTCCTTTCTTCCATTCCAGCACTTCCCCAAATCAATCCGAAATTCGCAATTATCTTCTTCTCTGAAACATGTGATTGCCCCAAACCTTGGCTCCAAGAAAGGAAAATCACAAGCCAACTTCGCGGATACATGGCCTGACAACATGAATGCTCGTCGAAAGGTTCTGATTGCCACATTAGAATATGAAATTATCGATTGGAAAATAAAGGTCAAAATTGGGGGGCTGGGTGTTATGTCTTCGTTGATGGGCAAGGTGATGGACGATTTAGACCTTCTCTGGGTGATACCTAAAGTCAGTGATCTGGAATACCCTGAAGCCGAGCGGACCCAGCCCATCCCAGTAGTTGTGTTTGGACAGACGTATCTAGTGGAGTGTCAGATTCACAAATTCCAAAATATCACGTACTACTTACTCGATTCTCCGGTCTTTCGCGCCAATACCAAAGAGAATCCATACCCCGCTCGAATGGACGACTTGAGTTCCGCAATATTTTATTCTTACTGGAATCAGAGTATTGCGGAGATCTGTCGGAGAACTCCAGACTTGACGATTTACCACATCAACGACTATCATGGCGCCCTCGCACCTTTGTACCTCTTACCAACAATACTACCTGTCTCACTTTCACTGCATAACGCCGAGTTTCAAGGTCAATGGCCGTTAGGGACGCCCGAAGAAGAAGAGGAAGTCTGCCGATCGTTCAATTTATCTAGCAAGGTGTGCTCCAGTTATGCTCGGTATGGAAGTGTTTTCAATCTACTTCATGCGGCAGCAAGCTATATCAGTCAACATCAAAATAGTATCGGGGTCGCGGGGGTTAGTGAAAAGTACGGGAAGCGAAGCTGGGCTCGATATCCTGTTCTCTGGACTCTCAAAAGCATCGAACCACTCCCGAACCCAGATCCATCCGATGTCGAATCCTTGGATGTTACCCCTCTTGATATGAGAACTATCCAGATTGACCAAGAAGCCGAATCGAAGAGGCCCGGGGATAAGCTCAAGCTGCAAGATTGGGCCGGCTTGCATCAAGACCCCAAGGCGCAAGTTTTTGTTTTTGTAGGACGTTGGTCTTTCCAAAAAGGGGTAGATTTGATAGCGGATGTGTTCCCTCTCCTCCTGGAAAAACGCAAGGACGTCCAACTCATAGCCATTGGACCCGTCATAGATCTCTACGGCAAATTGGCAGCGTTGAAACTAAACCGCTTGATGGAAATTTACCCCGGGAGGGTCTTTTCTAAGCCGGTGTTCACATCTTTGCCGGATTTCGTATTTTCGGGCGGTGATTTTGCCTTGATACCCAGTCGAGATGAACCGTTTGGATTGGTCGCGGTCGAATTCGGGCGCAAGGGTGCATTAGGAGTTGGAAGCCGCTTGGGAGGCCTAGGTTTAATGCCGGGTTGGTGGTTTCCTGTTGAAAGTGATAGCACTGCCCATCTTCATTCGCAATTCGCTAAGACACTCAAAGCGGCATTGGAATCACCTGAAGAGGAACGTGCCCTGCTTCGAGCACGCAGTGCCCATCAGCGCTTCCCAGTTCTCGAATGGAGGATTAAAATGGAGGACATTCATTCCCGTTCGGTCAGAGCATCTCGGAAGTATGCCGGAAGGTTGGCTTCGAACATAGATCCAATTGGCGCAATCAAACCGGATGAGTCGCCCTCTCCATCCAACGAACAAGGGGTGACCTGTGGAGCGCACCCTTCTTCTTCTGCATCCCACAAGACTGGAGGAATGCGCAGCTCTTCAACGGAAAATCAACCCGATGCTCTTGGGTCACACTTGAACCAGACCCGGCCCTCCTTAGACGTATCCCGAATGCTCTCATCGTCCAATAAATTGGCGGTACAATTAAGCGAAGCAGTAAAACGTTTGATAATCACCAAGAACGGAAATCAATCATCACGACCCTCAGAGATTCATAATGCTCACGTGGATGATTCTAGTACCCCTTCCGAGAGACCCCCGAATGACGATCAGGAAATTTTGAATTCCATCGTTACCCTAGAAAAAATCAACAACAATGCTGACGAGCACAACTTAGCCGACTTCCAAAGGACATTTTCCCGCCAAGACGATAAAAATTCGCCATTGAATCAAGCAGTCAAAGATTTTACTGATGAGGATGGAAAAGCCAGCCAAGAGTTCGTACGTAGACTGCAAAAGTTAGACGTCTCTAACTCCCAGACCGAATTATGCATTGCGACCTACATCGTTGCTGCTCACAAAACACATTTCAACGAGGTCCGAAAGGGTACATTAGCATTGGCAAAAACCAAATTTGCCTCTTCTCCGACACTCTCAGTCACTTCCATCATGCCGAGGACGATGTTAGGGGGAGGAATCAATCCTCATATCAACAACCTCTCCGATCAAGCTAAGAACGAAAAAAATGATACTCTTGATGTGACGACAGCGTTGAGTATGAACCTTTGGCAGATAAGGCTCCAGAGGCGGGTTTTCGGTTGGCCCATCTACACGATACTGCTGGCCGTGGGTCAAATTCTCGGCGCTACTAGTTTTCAACTTTCTCTTCTGAGTGGAACTAGCTCAAATGGTAGCTTTGACTTCTATGGTACGTGTCCTGATGTCGCTGAAATTTCAACTTTGAGCTGATTTTCGTCTGTTCTATCACCCCTTCTATTATCCAGTGATAGGTGCGGTTAATATCCTGGGATCTGCCTCTTGGTATGGATTAAGTCGCAGAAAGCCTGCGACCTGGTCCCTGTCGATGCCATGGATCTTCTTCGGTTTAGCGTTTGTTTTTATTGGGTTACCTTCACTCTCAGAAAACCTCAAACAGTATTCTCGTCGGCATCCACTGGCTGTGGCTGCATCAGGTTTCTACTCTTTTGCCTCATCAGCAGGTTTCTGTAAGATACCCTTCTCTATCTCAATCATCCGCGGCAAGTAAGCTGATCGTCCCCCCCCCCCCTTCAGTATTTTTCAGTTCGAACTTTGGCGAAGAAGCGGGGGGGACAACAGACTCATGGGTAAGAAGAGCATGCATTGTTCAAGGTACTCAGCAAGTTTGGGTAAGTTCCATTTGGTGAAAAGAAGTAGATGCAATTTCTTGCGGTGATTAATCGAATTGCTGACCCTGTTTGTGCACGTGTGATTAAGGTCGGCGCCCTTTGGTATTGGGGATTCAAACTCCAAAACGTGGATCCGATGAATGCTGCATTAGCACCCCCTGGTTGGATCAATGTCATAACTCTGAGCTTGGGAGCTGGATGCTTCTTCATTGCATACATACTCTTCACAGGTCTAGTGAGTATATATGGTCACCGTTGGAATTCACTGCTTTTGCTGACAATTTGACTCGTCTTGTACGTTTAGCCCAAGTATTATAGAAACGTACCTGGAACAGTTCCGAACTTTACGAGGGCACTTTTCAGAAGAAAGCTAGTTCTTTGGTACCTGGCCGCGGAAATCTTACGTAACTATTGGCTGTGAGTTATTTTTGCATGTATAGGATAGTTTTTAAGTGAAAAGATACATTCAACACAGAATGTTTTTAACAGATCTGGCCCTTATGGTCGTAACTGGAATTTCCTCTGGACAAGAGAGACCTCATTTGGAATCACACTTTTCTTACTTCTCTTCTTTTTCGTCGGGGTTTGGGGGGTTAGTCCCGCGCTTTCAATTCCAATACTTCCCAGAATGCTGATTTCATTTTTCTCTCTTAGTTAACGATCTGGGGACTCAGTCTTGCATCAAAATCACATACATGGATCGTGGCCATCTTTGCGATAGGACTTGGAGCACCCCGGTGGTGTCAGATGTTATGGGGAACAAGTAGTGTGGCTTCTTACATCTCCTGGGGAGGGTCAGCTGGACCCCACATTGCAAGTGAGCCTTGAATTGCAGAATGATCAGACCTCCTTCAGATTCACGAAAACTAAACCTTTTTTTTGAAACAAAAGCTTCATTGTGGCTATGGCTGGGTGTTTTGGATGCTGTACAAGGGGTAGGTTTGGGGATGATCTTACTTCAAACGCTAAGCCGGGTTCATGTCGCGGCCACTCTATGTCTTGCCCAAATAATTGGATCAACCGCGGTCCTCGTGGCTCGAGCAACAGCACCCAATCGGATCGGGCCTGGAGGTGTTTTCCCGGACCTTGCCTTGTGGAATCCAAAATTTTCATACCTCGATTCCCCCCTCGCGAATTGGCAATTCTGGATCGCGTTGATTTGTCAGCTCGTCATTGTAGCGGGCTATTTTATCTTATTCCGTAGAGAAGTGAGTCACATTGAAACTTTCATTTCCATCTCGATTAATGAAGCTAAACCTCGATTGACATGACCATGATTCTCTCAGCAACTCTCAAAACCATAATACCACGAGTTAAGAAGCAAAAGCAGTATCAACCTTTGTTCCTGAATGCACATCAAACCTACAATTATAAGGAGATTTTGAGTAACATTTTATTCCAAGTAACATATATATACATATCTAAATTAATAGCACAGCTGTTTCCCTTAATTGCAATATCAAATACACGTATCTGTTATCCTTCCTGTTTTGTTTTTACGAGTAGATATCCTCTTGATTTTGTTTTCAATGACAAGTTAAGTCCACCAACAAAAATAGTTCCTGAGCTCTTTCTCATTATATTTGTTTGAAAATCCTTACTTTCAAGAAAAACTGATTCACATAGAGCTAAGTGGAAAGCTATCAGCAACGCTGGGCCAGCTACGCTAACCGTAGCGTTAGCGTGGCGTAGCGCAGCGGAAATGCGCTACTTTGTAGCGTAGCGTTAGCGGAAAATCCGCCTTTCTGCGCTAACGCTACGCGCAAAGGGCACAGAAGTGCGTTAGCTGTTAGCGTAGCGTTAGCGCAGAAATTTGGAATTGCACTAACGCTATGCGCTCAGGGCACAAAAAAGTGCCCGCTACGCCGCGCTACAGCGCTTTTTAGCGGGTTTTTTGCCTTTTTTGCCGCTAAAAGCGCTGTAGCGCAGCGTAACGCAGCGTAGCGGCTGTAGCGATGCACTAACACTACCCAGAATATTGTAAGAGTTGCAACTCTTCACTACAGTTGCGGGTGCCATAAACTGACCCTCAATTTTCAGGATGTCCAAAATGTAGGCAAAAACACTTTTTTTGAGCTCTTT